GCCAGGCTGTGCCGTCGTGCTGGGGGCCAGGCCCTGAACGAGACACTGGGCGCCCAGCTCACGTGGGGAGCTGCCCTTCCTATGGCGACGGTGGACACCACCCACAGTCTTGGAGATGTGGCTGAAAGAGACCACAACAGAGGGGACGAGGCACAGCGCAGGGGACCTCCTCCGAGGGAGGCTGGAGAAGAACCAGAGCCTGTGGCCTCCAGGTGCACCCGCACCAAGGTGCGTGCAGAGGAGGGTGCAGGCTCCAGACCCCAGGCAGCCCCAGCGAAGCCCCGTGATGCCTGGGCCCAGGCCCCATGCCCTGCTCCCCACACCCGCACCCCCTGCCAGCCCCCAGCACTACCTTCTGAGTCAGCCTCCACAGAAGGGCCTTCTTTTCTCCCAGGTGCTGGGGGCGGGTCCGTCCCAGGCGTGTTCCTGTCTGCTTCGGGGCTTGCCTTCCCATCCAGGCCATCCTCTGAGCAGCTCTCTGGGGCATGGGGCACTCCAAACCTGGGGTCACACAGACATCTGGTGACCCAGGATGGACACCAACACAGAGCCAGCGACAGCCCAGGGCTCAGGGCTGGAGTGGGCAGAGAGGGCCCACGGAGCGGCATTGATGGGCTCCAGACCTGAGCTCTGGCCCCCTCAGGAAGGGTCACCTGGCTCTCTGGGCCCCAGAGCGCATGAGGACAGTCACTTATTCTGCAGGAGCAGCTGAACCGACCGCAGAGTGGCCGGGCCTCTAGTGGGCATTCTGATGGCTGCACACCCCTCGGGAGGGCTAAGGGAGGACGGGTGGCCCCACACCTGGCTCTGGCCATCACCCGGGTGGCACAGCGAGTCTCCTTGTCCTCCCAGATGTCCTCCTCTTCATCATCAAAAGGCTGGATGCGGTCACTGCAGCAGGCCTCAAACAGAGCTGCGCTAGGCTGCAGGACAAAACCCTGGGGTCGGTGTCTGGAAGATCTGGAGCCAACAAGGGATCCTGGCCCCACAGGGCTCCCAGAGGGCCTCAGCTCTCAGGACACGGGGCCTCACTGTGGAGGGCAGGAGGGGGAGAAGTGAGGGGCTCTATCCAAGCTCCTTTGGCGGGACCCCTTCTAACCCTGCCCAGGCTCAGGTCCCACCCTCTCCATGCCAGAGGTCCAGCAGCCCCTGCCCACTTACACTGTCATCGTCGGCATCAACGCTGAAATTAATCTCCGCAATCCTGTCAAACGGGGCACTGCAAGAGCCAAGGAGACGGCCCTCTGCACCTGCTCCGCAGTGCTGGTCCAGGGGGCCTCGGCATCCTTTGGCAGCCTGGGAGCTCTCGTCGCCCCTGGGGGACACCAACCACACCCCTGGCAAGACCCCTGCCTCCTGGCTCAAGCGGCAGGAGGGGACTCATGCCTCGCCCAGAGGGTCTGGGGCTCCCGGCGCATCTACACAGACTCACTTGATGTTATCGTCCTGGTCTGCAAACTCCTCGTCATTGAAGCCGAACTGATCCACAAAGTTGGCTGTCATCTGCTGGATCTGGTACTCGGAGAAGGCCTGGGAGGGAGAACAGGGGCTGTCACAGAGCAGCAGGCCTCGACCTGGAGACCAGATCTCCCGGCTGCTTGTCTTTCAGCAAGCGCGGGCACTGTGTTCTGACGGCTCAGGCTGCATTCGTGACGGCTCCATCCAAAGCAGTGCCTCACATCGTCCCTTTCACGTTCTCAGCAGCACTCCAGTGGTCTTCACCAGGCGACGTGACTTTGGGATTCTCCCCCCGGGCCCCTCTCCCCCACATGTGCTGGGGACGAGCCGCCTCTTCCCTTGGCTAGTGAGAGGCCATGTCTGGAGGACCAAGCGCTAGTGAGCACACAGGTGCCAGGAAGGCCCAGCAGGGTGCAGGTGCCGGCCACGCCCTCACCTGCTGAAGGGACAGCTCGTTAGGGAAAGCACCCTCAATGTCCTCGTCCTCACTCGAGGAATGGAGGTGGTGAATGCTCACCTAAAACACAGGCCAGATGGGGTGGGCATGTGAGCCAGCCCCGTTCCAGACACCACCCACCCCAGTGCCCAGGACCCTGCCCAGGCCCACCCAGCACCCAGGACCCTCCCGTACCCACCCCCGGCCTGGCCCTTGCCAGCTATCTGGGCCAAGGAGGCGGTGTTGAAGAAGGTGCAAGTCAGGTCCAGGCCCCGTGTTGGCCCGACCTCCCAGTGCGGGGGACACACTGTGGGTCTCAGACATAAAGAGCCTCAGCCAATAAGCTGCAGTGTGAGGGGAGGGGCCCAAGGTCAACTCCAGCCCCGCATGGAGGTCCTCAGGGAGCTGGCCTTGAGCGCGCCCAGGAAAGGGCCTGTGCTACGGATGCCAGGCCAGAGGCTGGCCTGCACGCCTGCAGGACCCACAGGGCACTGCACCCTGTCCTGGTCCGCAGGGGAAGGCAGGAATCTGGTGCCTTGGAGCAGCGCCAAGCCTCCTCACCAGGTCCACGGTGTTCCTGCGGTTGGTCTCTGTCAGTGTCTCCGCCACAAAGCTCTCCCAGCGGCCACGGCAGTCTGCAGGGAGCCCTGCAGGGAAGTGCTGCCTGTGAGTCCGTGGGCCAGAGTGCGTGATACAGGATGCCCAGGAGCCCCAGCAGAGCACCCTGGGCCCAGGGGCCGGGCCATGTGACGGGGGACAGGCCATGTGACAGGGGCCAGCCCTCTGAGGGCCCAACGCCGGGCCTTGCTGGATGGAAGGGGACCAGCGTAGTGGGGGCCCACAGGGCCTCAGAGGCACAGTGAGGGTGGGACACAGCCACCCCGGGTAGGTAGTGGGCGTTCTTTGTTCCTGTCGAGACCTCAGTGGGCACTGGAGGTATGCGTTGCTGGTGTGAGCACACGCTGAGGAACTCCCAGAAATACAGAAGCCATGGAACAGAATCCGAGAGCAGCCAGCTGCCTTCTCCACCCCACCTCCCAGGCAGGGCACAGCAGTAGCCCCCAGAACTATGTACGCGTCTGTTCTTGGGAAGGCCGAGTAGCCCCGGAAAAAGGGTCATCACCCAGAAACGGTGTGCGGCAATCACAGAGCTTCCTGTGCCCCTCACCTCCCAAACTGCTCTGTCCCAGGGAGCCTTTGCTGGCCCCCACCTGTGCCCCTTCATTCTGCCCCTCTGGTAGCACAGGGACCTCCTCCTTCCTTGCTGGCCACACGCCCCTTCCCCACACAGACCCACACACCCTCCTTGTACGCGACGGTGACCAGCAGCCCTGACCTCACGACCAAGGAGCTGCCTGCCCTCCCTATGGTCCTGGTGGGCCGAGAGGACCACCCAGAGCTTCCTCACCTCACACCTGCCCGGGGGGCCTAAAAGGGGCATGGGGCACAGCTGAGACCACCCTGGGGCAACCAGAAGGCCAACCAGGTGAGGCCAGGGGCTGCGCCTGCCTCTGCCACACACATGCTATATGCGCCTCACCTGACCTGCGGGGCAGTGCCGCCCCGTGAGGGGAACACATCCTAGCCCTCCCCCAGGTGTGGGGGCTTGAGGGGAACACTTCCTGGCCCTCCCCCAGGCGTGGGGGCAAGAGGCCTGTGCCTGCTCCAGGCTCACAAAGCACCCATGACCTGGCCCTGTCTGAGCCGGAAGCTGACTGTCCTGGCCATGATGGCCACACACCAGCACACCTGGGCCCTGACCTTGAGGCCACCACCCGTCTGTGCACAGATCACCTCCTGGGCATCCTTGGGTCCAGCCGCCTGTCTGCCCCGACCGCACCTGGAGGGACCTGGGCACATCCTGCTGAGGCCGACAGAGCGTCTCCCTCCTCCTCAGTGAGGCCACATGGGCCAGCAGAGTCACCCGCCTGCCCTGCCCAGGGGCCCCTGCACTCAGGCCACGTGACGAGCCACAGCGCCGGCCGGGGGCCCAGGACATGAGAGGGCGAGGCAGGAGGGGGCAGTGGCCTGAAGCACAGCAGAAGCCATGGGCTAAGGGCAGGGCTGGGGCAGCCAGGGCAAAGGCCTCACAGCGGGTTCTGCCAGGGGCTGCTCTGTGGCGCTCTGCTCAGGATCAGAACAGGGCTGCCCACCCAGTTGCCTGCTCTTAGGAAGCAAGGTGCAGCCTGCACCCCCAGCTCCCCAGATACTTGTGCTAGGAAGGCCCCAAACCATCTGAGTTCAGAGCCAAGTGAGGCCCTGGGCCATGGTGGCCAGTATCAGGCAGGGCTCGGGGGTTCGAAAGCCCAGGGGAGCCCAGTGACATCACGGCCTCTGAGCCCCAGCTCTGGAGCCACGAGCTGCTCAGACCCCAGGCGGGTCTCCACCCAGACATCTGCCCCCCAGCACCAACGCATGAGGTCCGGGGCCACTGTGAGAAGAGACCCAGCATGGGAGGGGAGATGAAGGAGGCTGCTGGACCTTCCCAGAGCCAGTGCAGTTCCCTGCAGGGCCCCAGCGCCTGCCACCAGCAGAGGCTGGCCTGGGGGAGGGGCTCACCTCGGATGACCTCGCTGATGTGCGCCTGCATAGGGCCTCGTTCCAGGTTCTGCACCACGGCATTGGCAATCCGCGTGAGGTGGCCCATGTTCCCGCGCCGCATGCCGCCCGCAGCCCTGAAAGCGACAGGCACCATCAGGGCAGCCCCACCCTGGCCTTGCAGACCTGTGGCTAGCAGAGCCAAGGGGCACAGCCCCGAGGAGCCTCTAGAGTCACTGCCTGGCCCCTGCTCCACTCTGGCCCGTGGGCCCAGCCGCCAGGACCCGGAGCATGGGAGGCACTGGCATGTGCAGCAGGCAGTCCGTGCCAACCTCCCACCAGGAAGCGCTCCTGAGCAAGACATGGCTCTCGCCCACGTTACCGAAGGAAAACGAGGCAGACAGGCCGTGGTGGCCCGAGCTTCCCACTGCAGCAGTGAGGCAGCAGTTGAGCCCAGGACCACCCGCTCGTCACATCCAGGCCCGGCAACCCAGACCTTCCTGGCTCGGCACGGCCCAGAGCCAGACCGCGCCAGCAGGGCAGCAGAGGGGTGGGCATGGCCCGGGCCCAGGACAACAAGCAAGACATGCTTCCACCCGAGGACACAGGCTAAGCAGAAGACATAGAAAGATCAAACTCGAAACACAGCCCTGCAAACACATGCTGACAGAGCACGTCCCAAGGTCCCGGGGAAGACTGAGAACGGATATGTGGCTCCCAAGTGGGCAAAGTCTGGGCAAGAGAGGCTGGGCCAGGCAGGGCTGGAGCGGGCTCCCAGGGCAGGACGGGGCCTCTCTCCGGCCCCAGCCCAGCTGTGGCCTGTCCCTTCTGGTCACCTCCACGTGTGCTCCCTTGCGGGCGGCATTTCTAGCTGCTTGCACGGCAGCTGGGGCCCCTTCCATGGCAGCCCGGAGCACAGACCGTGCCACACACCTGATGCCCACACTGAGCCTGCAGTCCCACATGCAGGGCCGCCATGCTCTGGTGAGTCACAGCTCTGTGTCCCCAGTGGGCTGGGCCCAGGCCCCTCAGTATCTGAGCTGCTCTTACTGTATGTGGTCGTTGGTTTCCCAGGCCTCCAGGATCCTCTGCACCAGGCAGCATTTCTGGAACAGCTGGGGGCAGGGGACATGAGTCAGGGTCTGAAGGTGGCACCTACCCCCACCCAACCCTGGAATGAGCAGGGCCAGTTGGCCACCACATCTGAGTGGGCTCTCAGGTGGCAGGCCGGTACATCAGACGTGTACAACCCCAGCCTGCGGTCCCCACCAGATGCTCGTGCCGCTGAGCACCCTGAAGGCGAAGAGGGGTGTGATAAAAGGACACTCACCACATTCCTCAGGCTCCTGCGGCATCCCCTGCCCCTCCCTCTCCTGTCCCCACCTCCACTGCCCGCCCCCGCTGGGCACTCTCCTTCCTCCTTCCTCAGCAAACATTTTCTCTTATCTCCAGGCCCAGACACAGACTACATCTTGCACCTGGGACACTTATTCTGGGCCCCAGCTCACACCCCTGTGCACCCATGACCTCACTATCTGGGTGAAGATCACTAGCTGGCCTGCACACGCCCTCCCCACCATTGGGCTCTCGTCATCACAGGCCCTGGCTGCCTCTCCTCCAGGCTGCCAGCCATGGGCTACGCTGGACCTGCCAGGTCCAGGGCTAATCTTGCCAGGCCTGCACACAGAAGGCACCCAGGACGCCTGCTGAAGGCAGGTGGGAGTGAGACCTGCAGGACCTACTCGCACCCTGCTGTCTATAAGGCTTCTGGTCAGACACTCGGGAAGCCCCTTCCCACGCCGCTAGCCTCTTGGGAGCTGCGCAGCTTGGTCTAGGTGTCCCCTGCCCACCGCCCTCTAGAGCCAGCAGCCACGTGTAGCACTGAGCTCTTCTTCAAACTCAGGGTACCAAGTTCCTCCCTCCCTCCCCCCCTCGTCCAGCTGACCTTCCCCATTCTGGGGGCTGCAGCCGAAAACAGGCAAGGCCAACCTGGTGCAGACCTGCCCTCCCCCTGCCTCCCCTTACCCTCCCTGTCACCAGCTGTTACCCTGGCAAACACGAACGCTTTCTTTGCGACTGAGCATCCTCATGGGCGAAAGATGGGAAGCACCACCCGTCCCACATGAGGTTTGAGACCAGGCATGAAACCCTGGAAGGTGCTGGCAGCAGACACACCAGTAATACTGACGCCAGCGTGGTCTGGGGGGCTCAGCCTGCAGTGGCAAGCTGGACAGCAGCTTGGACTTACATGGGTCACCATTGTGTTCTCAGGGAGGCTGGCGGCGGCAGGCTGGGGGCTCTCCCAGCTGCTGTTCCCATTCCCACATGCAGGTTCCATCCTGCACTCAGCTCCATTGGCTTCTGCCCCTTCCTCCCGGGCAGCGTAGGAGAGAATAGCGGCTATGCATAGTTCCACTTGGAAGTGCAAAAAGTTGTTCCAGGTGTACTTAAAAAACAAGTCCTGAATAAACAGAGGAAGACAGAAGGAAGTTCTTAGATTGGTTTTCTCCAAACAGCTGAACCACAAAGGCAAAGGAAAATCAGTCCCAAATGCTGTTTCCTAACTTTTTATGCATCCAGTCTTTGGGCACCCAGGAAGATGTTTTAGGATGTTTCCTCGAGATTTAATTTTCTCTCAGGTAGCTTTTTCCAAGAGACATCTTGTTCTTCTATCTCCTGCCTGTTGCTTTCTTTCTGTCCCATACATCTCTGCTCTTATCTGAATAATCATCTTTTTTTCACCTTGTGGGTTTAAACTTTTGTCCTTAAGTTGAAAACTTAACTCATTAATTTTTAGCCTTGACCGGGTGTGGTAGCTCATGCTTGTAATCCTGGCATTTTTGGAAGCTGAGGCAGGAGAAATGCTTTGAGCCCAGGAGTTTGAGACAAACCTGGGCAATATAATGGGACCCTGTCTCTACCAAAAAAATAAAAAAATTAGCCGGGTCAGGCATGATGGCTCACACCTATAATGCTAGCACTTTGGAAGGCTGAGGGGAGAGGACTACCTGAACCCAGGAATTCAAGACCAGCCTGGGCAACATGGTGAGATCTCGTCTCCACAACATATCAAAAAAGTTAGCCAGGCATGGTGGTACATGCCTGTAGTCTCAGCTACTTGGAAGGCTGAGGTGGAAGGATCAAGGATGGTCGAGCCCAGCAGGTCAAGGTTGCATTAGCCATGATTGTGTCACTGCAATCTAGCCTGTGATGAGTGAGACTCCGACTCAAAAAAAAAAAAAAAAAGTTGGGCATGGTGGTGCAAGCTGGCAGTTCCAGGTACAAGGGGGTGTGAGGTGGGAGCTACAGGGGAGGCTAAGGTGAGACTGAGGAGCTTGAACCCAGAAGGTAGAGGTTGCAGTGAGCCAGGATTGTGCCACTGTACTCCAGGTTAGGCTGACAATCTGTCTCAAAAAAAAAAAAAAAAAAGGGCAACCTCCTCAGGCCCCTTCCCACTCTGGGGCTTCTCTGTCCTCTAGATAAATCCTGCTTTCAAAAAAAGTTTTTTTTGATTTTAAGCCTTTCCTCATTTCCAATCTAAGTCTTTAAAGGCAACATGTCTCCCTGTATAAAATCCACTTTAACTACATCCTACACTTTATTTACATGGTATTTTTACTGTTTTTTTAAGTTCTAAGTGTTGGAAAATTCCTTTATGATTCTGCCTTTGATGCGTGAGCTGCTGGAGTGTGTCCAACCCTCAAGCACATGCGGATTCCACCTTGTATGAAAGCTGGTACACCTTCCACTGCACGCACACCAGACACATGCACATGTGAGGGACATGTTCAGACACTCCCCAAGAGAGCCTGAAACAAGCAGCACAGGCTACAGCTCAAAGGAGGTTCTGGCCACCCTGAGGTTCCCCTGGCGCTGAGAGGTGCCTAAATGCAGACAGCAGCTGCCCCTTGTCTCCCACTCAACCTCTTCCAGACCAGGACAGGGTGGGGGGCCACGGGTTTCCTATCCTCAAACCCTGTGGCCACCTCCCACACGCCAGAGGGCCACAGCAGCCTGCATTCCAGGGCCTCTGCTTCCCACATGGCGAAGGTGGGGATGCTGGAGGGGGATGGGGACGCTGGAGGAGGACGGGGACGAGGTACAGACTCCACCCTAGGATGTGCAATTGGGCTCCCTTTCACACAAGGGAGTCAGGAGCGAGAAAAAGACAAGAAGCCTGTCTGCTTGATGTACTTGCCTTCTCCACAGACACACAGTTCCAAATCTCAGCTTCACCTTCTCTGCCTACGTGACCTTCAACAACCTTGGAGGCAGCCTCACTGTGTTATATCATCTGTAATGTGGAGTCAGACTCACCTCTCAACAAAGAAAAGCCCAGACCAGATAGCTTTGCTAGTGAACTCTACCAAACATTTGAAGAACAGTTGAAACTAATCCTTCTCAAACTCTTCCAAAAAACTGAAGAAGAAGAAATACTCCCTGATTTATTCTATGAGGCCAGTATTACCGATACCAAAGCCAGACAAGGACACTACAGGAAAAGACCAATATTCCTTATGAACACCGATGCAAAACACCAGCAAACTGAATTTGGCATCATATTAGAAGAATTGTACGCCATGACTAAGTGAGATTTATTCCTGGAATGCAAGGACAGTTTAATATGTAAAAATAAATCAATGTTAATATACCACACTAACAGAATGAAGGACAAACCTCAAATGATCATCTCAATTCATGGGAAAAAAAGCATTTGGAAAAGTCCAACACTTGATAAACTAGAAATAGAAGAAAACTTCCTTGATATGATAAAGACATCTATGAAATGCCAGTAGCTGACAACATATGCAGTGCTGAAAAGCTGAAAATTTTTCATCTAAGATCAAGAGGAAGGCAAGGATGCTCACTCTCACCTCTTATATTCAACATAGTACTAGAAGCCCTAGCCTGAGCAATTAGGCAAGAAAAATAAATAAAAGGCATCCAAATTGGAAAAGAAGAAGTAAAATTATCACTGTTCTCAAATGACATGATCTTATACATGGAAAACTCTAAAGATTCCACATAAACTTTTAGAGCTAATTCAGCAAAGTCACAGGATACAAAACCAACACAAACAAAATAATCTGTTGCATTTCTATACATTAACAATGAATAATCCAAAAAAGAAATGAAGAAAACAATTCTATATATGATAGCATTGCATCCAAAAGAATAAAATACTTAAATTAAGGGTGCCTGAATGAAGTATATTTGTATACCTAACCCTTAACTGTACCCCACAATATCATAATAAAAAATATTGATAAAAAATACTTAAACCACGAAGGTAAAACGACTTGTTCACTGAAAACTGTAAAATACTGCTGGAAGAATTTTAAGCATACCTATTTAAATAAATGAAAAGATACCATGAATTAAAGTCTTAACATTGTTAAGAAGAAAGACAACATTATTATTTTTTAATGCAGACACAAGGTCTCACTATGTTGCCCAGGCTGGTCTTGAACTCCTGAGCTCAAGCAATCCTCTCGCCTCAGCATCCTTAAGTGCTGGGATTACAGGCAAGAGCCACCACACCCAGCCAAACAATATTACTTGACGTTGTCCACAAATTCAATGCAATCCCTACTAAAATCTCAGCAGCATTTTTTTTTTCAGAAATAGAGAAACATACCTTAAAATTCATATGGAGTCTCAAGGGATTCTGAATAGCCAAAACAATCTTGAAAAGAGAACAAAGTTGAAAGACTCGCACTTACCACTTGCAAAACAGTATTAAAGCCAGGCTCGGTGGCTCAGCCTATAATCCCGCGCCTTGGGAGGCTGAGGTGAGTGGATTGCCTGAGCCTGCAGGTTCGAGACCCACCTGGGCAACTTGGCAAGACCTCATCTCCACAATAAATAAAAAAATCAGCCGGGCGTGGTAGCAAATGCTTGTAATTCCGGCTACTTGGAAGGCTGAGGCGGAAGGATTGCTGGAGCCCAGCAGGTCGAGGCTGCAGTGACCGGGAGTGGCCACTGCACTCTAGTCTGGGCGACAGAGTGAGACTCCAACTCAAAAAACAAAAACAAAAACAAAAAACCAAATCAAAACAGTATTAAGTTACAGTAATCACAACAGTGTGACACTGGCAGAAGGACAAACATATAGACCAAATTAAACAGAATCGAGAGCCCAGAGAAAATCCCTCACATACACAGTCAACTGATTTCCAACAAGTGTGCCAAGACCATTCAGTGGGAAAGGACAGCCTTTTCAACAAATTGTGTTATGAAAACACTATTTGCATGTGATATCCACATGCAAAGAATAGAGTTGGACCCTTACCTTATACTATGAATAAAAATTAACTCAGAATGCTTAAAGGTCTAACCATAAGAGCTAAGACTAGAACACTTTTTGAAGAAAATATGCAAGAAAAGCTTTTATAACACTGGATTTGTCATTTATTTCTTGCATATAGAACCAAAAGCACAGGTAACACAAGCAAAAAAAAGAATAAATTGGATCTCATCCAAGTTAAAAAACGTATCTTAAAATTCATATGGAGTCTCAAGGGTGTGTCAAAGGTCATTATCAACAGAGCAAAAATATAACCCAAAGAAAGGAGGAAAATACTTGCAAACTGGCTAGGCACAGTGGCTCATGCTTATAACCCCAACACTTTAGGAGGCCAAGGTGGGAGGACGGCCTGAACTCAGGAGTTCAAGACTGCAGTGAGTTATGATGGTACCACTGCACTCCAGCCTGGGTGACAGAGCAAGATTCTGTCTGTAAAAAAAAGGAAGGGGGGAGGGAGGGAGAGAGGGAGAGAGAGAGAGAGAGAGAGAGAGAGAGAGAGAGAGCGCGCGCGAGAGAGAGCGAAAGGGGGAGATAGAATTCTTTTGAAGAGAGGAAAAGGAAAGTAGGTCTCTTTGCTCCCCTGATCCAGACTGGGCTCTGACAGTCACAGCAGTACCCATGAACTTCTGAGGCAGACAACACTTCAGGCCCAGCTTTGAGGTTAACTCATTCTGGGACTAAGATCGCAGGAGATTCCTGCAAGGGCCAGACAGGTAAGTTGGGACTGCTTCTTCTGACGGTACCCACGTCGGGTGGTGCCCTGTCCCGGCAGCACCCTCCTTCTCCTGGGAATAGCCCCGAGCTCTCTGCAGTGGAGCCAGTGCTGTGTACCCATCCCTCTCCTCAGACACCCAGAGCATCTTGCAGGCAAAAATTGGGCAGCATGTGCTAAGTAGAGGAGCATTTCCATTGCTTTGACAAGAACTGCTAGGGTGACCTTCTACTGTGGAAGGCGGTAGCTTCTCTTTTAGTGTGCTGTATATTTAAGAGCTACAATGTAAGTTCCATTTTGTTAGTCAGAATATGAGGAGATAATTAATCACTCCATTCCCTCAAACAGAACCAAAACCCACCCTCTGCATTCAGGGAAATGCTACAGCACATTCACTACTTCCTGTGAGCCTGGGGCTGGGATATGTTCCACTGTTGCTCTGTGCTCCATGGGGCCCTGAAGTTATGCACTGGGACCCAGTACGAGAACTTACCCTTGGGCAGGTCTATTGTCCAGCAGCCTGCCCTGATGGACCCTGCCCTGCCGCCCCGATCTGTCTGGCCATCTGGCCGTAGACTGTGCTCAGCATGCTCCCAGACAAGCAGGGCGGCTGGGTGCCCATGTCACTCACCAGCAGTAAGTCCATGGTGTTGAGCCGGCAGAGCTCCTGGTTGATGCTGGGCGTGTTGGTATGCAGCAGGGCAGCCATGAGGCGGGCACCATGCAGACGGGCATTCCCCAGAGGCTCCTCTAGCACACCGATGGTGGTCAGGATAGCTTCCTTCTGCAATCACAAGAGGCAGCACCCAGTTGGAGCCTTGAGGCCAGTGAGGCCACTACTGTAGGATGTGGCCCAGCCTTGGGCACAGTGAGGTCTGTGTGGGGTTTCCTCAAGGCAGGGCTGCCTGCAGGAGGAAATGAGCATATCAGTGGGGTTAAGAAGCCCACCACTCCTCTCAATGCCTCAAGAGTGAGCAAGGGTGGTCCACTGCTCCTGGGAAGCCCAGGGCACTCTGGTCTGAAACTGCCAGGCCAGACAGCCATACACCTTGGCATATGAGACGTGTCCAGGATGGGGCCAGCAGTACTGTCGGAGGTATACGGACCCCACAATCAGCTGGAGCCTGCGGCACGATGCCTCACTGAGAATGCCCATGAGGCGCTCTCTGGGTACACGGCCTCAGAACCCTGAGCTGACAAATGCCCCATGAACATGCTTGGAGAAGGCAGATGACAAAGCTTCATCAGACAGGAGGCAGGCCTTTGCTGATCACCCCACATCCAGCACAAGGTTCCAGGCTGACCAAATAGAATCCCTGCCTCCACGAGGCTCACCAGCCAGTGTGGGAGGCTGACCATAAACAGGTTGGTAAGATGGAACCAAGGTGGGAGCTAAGTCCAGGGAACGGGCCGTGTCTGGGGAGAAGGGATGTAATAGACTGAACAGGCAGGAGGTGGCCTGGCTGGCAGCAGAAGTAGGACACCTGCAGATCGGGGGGGGGGGGGTGTCCAGAAAAGGGATATTCTGGCATCTGCTCAGTGGCTCTTTAGCAGAAGTCTGGGAACTGCCACGACAGAGTACCTTCACTCCACACTCTGCCCGTCAGGGATAAATTGTGCAGTCCTCTCCTTGCGAACCCTCTTGTCCTGTCACGTCTCCAAAAACATAACAGCCGCTAATGACCACGTACCTTTGGTGGGCTGAGTAGGAGCTGATGGAAGTCCTTCAGGCGCGGTGTGATGCCATGCAGGATGCTGCCGCTGACAGCGTGTGACCTTTCCAGTCCCTGAGAAAAGGAGTCCACCAAGCCCTCTGCCCTGTGGATGAAGAGAGCAGAGGGAGACTGCAGGGCACATCAGGGCCATCCACACCCACCAACATTCAACTCATGTCTCCTTTCAAAAAGAGTGCTTTTTAATTTTCCCAAAAAGAAATCTCAAGCGTGAGACTGCTTACCACGGAATATGGTGACTGGTACAGAGAAACTAGAAAGGCACCAAAGGTGGGTGACATCCAAGAATGTGGAGTCAGGGGACCTGACACAGGACTCGCTTGCCTTTCAGCCTCTCAGCCCTGGTAGGGAACTGCTCCCTCCTCTTGCTTTGAAAATATTCACTGTTGTTCTCAGTACTCAGCTGAGAGACAGGAGACAGGACTGGCCACATCGTCCCTCTAGCTTTTCAAGCAAGTTTTTGTAACAGATATTTATTTTAAAACATCTTCCAATTGTAAAAGTAATGCGTGATCATTATTTCAAGCTTTTAATATATAAAAGAACTTTTTTTTTTTTTGAGTTGGAGTCTCATTCCGTCACCCAGACTGGAGTGCAATGGCACGCTCCCAGCCACCGCAGCCTTGACCTGCTGGGCTCTGGCGATTCTTCCGCCTCAGCCTTTGAAGTAGCTGGAACTACAGGCGCGCGCTACCACGTCCGGCTGATTTTTGGTTTATTGTAGAGATGAGATCTCACCAACCCGCGGGCTCAGGCAATCCACTCACCTCTGCCTCCCAAAGTGCTGGGATTACAGGCATGAGCCACCATACCCAGCTATCTCTGTTTTCCTAATTTTTACTGTCTCCTGAGCTTGGCCCTCAGAAGTGATCCAGTGTTCCTAGATTTATGAAGATTAAAAAAATCAATATTCCTGGTCTGGCTCATGCCTATAATCCCAGCACTCTGGGAAGCCAAGTTGGGAGAATCACTTAAACCCAGGAGTTCCAAGATCAGCCTAGGCAACATATCAAGACCTCGTCTCTAACCCCCCCCCAAAACAATCAACATTCCAGTTGCCTAACTATAGAAAATAATTATATAGTCATGATTCTATTTTGGGGTGATAAACTAATAAATATGCACTAGGCAGCATGAGAACAAGTAGGAGGCAGGAGGGAGAGGGAAAGGAGAGAGAGGCTCCTGATAATCTCACTGCCAAGATTAAGCCAATTTCTTGTAAGTTTCCTGTTGTTCTTTTTCTTTCATTTCGAAAAAGCACAGGTACCAGTCCTGGGGGCTAAGTGATTTAAATTCTCCCCAGAATGTGGAAATAGGGGAACGACAGCCACCTTGGGAGAACTGGATATTGTCATAGTATATGATGGAACAGAGCAGAGAGAATGGTGGTAAACAGCAGGTTCCTACCAGCGTGCAGGGAGCCCAAATCTACCAACAGGGCTGGGGGCAAGAGGTGGGAGAGGGGGGAAAGAACACCAACCCCCCCATCATCCATCTCGCCTCCCTACAGGGTCTCCTGGACACCTGACAGGCCGACGGCATCCCTTGTCCCAAGACCTCCTTCCGTGGCCTTGATAAGCCTTCCTACAGCCTCTCTACTCTGCTCTGTTTGCCCCTCACAGGAGTCATCTGTTTGTATGGCTGTGGCAGCACTCAGACCACTGTGACCTGAGAGCTATACTAGGTCCCCTGTAATCCAGAGAAACAGGTTCAAATACCTCCTGAAATTTCTACCTGGGGTCCCAAATCCAACCTTTCACCCAAACTCACTTGTTCTGCTGACTGACTGCCCCGTCTCTGCCCAATCACTGTGGCACCTGAGCAGGCCTCTGAAAGCTGCACTCGAATTAGCTCCACCATTCTTGTCCATGCACTGCCCTCATTTGCATGTCTATACTGGGACTCCCTTGCTGCCTCAGTCTCTGACCATATAGGATCCCCCATGAGGCTCCTCCCCCCAGCCCCAGATCCCCTCCTTCTTGTGGCCCCTGTGGCAGGGATGTGTGTCCAGTGCTCTCACCGTACCACATCCTACTTCCTGTCCACACACTTATCTCCTGGGTCAGATTTGGAGCAGCTAAATGGGGGCCACGTCCCAGTCATCTCGGTCTCCCAGGGCCTCAAGTTAGTGAGGGGCCACATTCCAGTCATCTCCATCTCCCAGGGCCATGAGTTAGTGCCCTGACAGGTGCACAAATAACATTTGATGAATGAGACCACATGACAGTGGACAGCCACCTTGGACAAAGTGCCTAATTCAGTACCTGACAGAAGGTATTAATACATATTTACAGGGGGCTTAGGAGCCAAGCACAAAATACTCCCTGCCCTATAAGGGCCCATGCTCTGTCACGGAAGATAAACACGTATGCAAGTAATTGTGTTACAGTGGAAACTCTGCAGCAGACACACATACACACACACAGAGGAGTTGGAGGGCCTTATTGGAATAGTCCTGTCAACTACATCTGTTCCAAATACACTGCAAGTTGGTCATGGTGGTGCCTTAAGGCTGGAGTGGGACCACAATTGATGATGAGGGTCAAAGGGGACTTAGCTGCAGCCGCAGAGTTGACCTTTTTGAAAAGGGGAGTCTATTCGTGTTATTACTGCCATGATCAAAAACTAATTAAAAAAACACAACATAATCCAGACTGCTCATTTGCGCTGCCTCATCACTGATGGGCCAAATTCAACTCTCATACAGTCTCTCCTTGTGAGAGAGACTCACCCAGCCCGCCTGGTTTCCAGCAAGGTGAGTAACACCTGAGTCCCACTGACGAGGCAGCTCTCAGTCCAGTCTCCGTCAAACATGTTCTTCAGAAGCTGCTCCACACAGTCCTGCCTGTTGGACACACACAGAGGTCACCATCTGGTAGACAGACGTACAAACAAGGAATGTAAAGACAGGCCTTCCTCCCTGTGGAGGACCCCAGCAACACCTTAAACCCGCCTGCACTGAAGGCCAGGCGCCAGGATTCTTGCAGCACTCCTGCCCTTGCTGGCCCACACTCTTCTGGACCTGCCAGGCCTCCTCTGGAGAGCCCTCCTCAAGAAACAGGCCCATCACATTGACTTGGGCTCTGAGCCTGGGGTGAGCATTTCGCAACCAGCTCATTAAAATCTGAATCAGAGGAGGTGGCAGCACGTCCTGGTGCTCAGAACAGGGCAGAGATGTCTGCACAGCTCAGAAAAAGAGGCCCACCAGCACCGCAGCCCACCAGCACTCACGACTCCAGCGCTGTGAGGAGGGGGTCTGGCTCCAGAGCCTCTTGCAGCTGACTGCCCTGGTCTCTGCCCAGCCTAACAATGTCACAGAGAGTCTGAGAAGCATTCGACTGCCTCTGAAAAGACAAGGGAAACACAGAGCCCCTCAGTGCTGAGGAGGAATGTCAGCAGAACCAGCCTGCTGGGCACCCATGGCATGAGGCCCATTGCTCGCTTCTCAGACAGATGTCAGACTTGCTCTTTTCAAAATCTGTTCAGTACCATGATGACATTCACGTTTGTTTTTCCTTGTTTAAATTCAGATGTGGGCTTTCTCTGAACCAAGACTCTAGACCAGTGGCTTTATTTCAAAGCCTGATTGTGCCCTTTCCATTGTCAAAATGTAGATCTGGTTAAATCTTTTTAAACCATCCCCAGGAATTCAAAATGGGCTCATAACAGTCAAATATGTGACCCAGATGTTGCTCTATACCTTTGATCCATGTCTTGAAATATGCTGGATATGTGACCCTGCGATTGATACTGTATTTTAAATTTAATAGTAAGTAGCTATTATTCCTCAGAACGAGTCCCATGAGCTAATGAAAACAGGAAAGCTGCTACAGAGAAAACACTCAACTTTTCTGGGGTACACACACACACACGTGAAAATTCAGAATTCCTGATTCAAGGGTGTACTTGCTGATGATACAGGGGTGTTCTGAAAGGGGAGGCAAACATGATAAAGGAAAACTCAGACCCTGACTCCTTGCAGCACTGACACACACGCAGTTGGAAGATGGAGGTAAAGGAATACTCATGTCGCTATTTTAGGGAAAAATGAAAACACCCAGGTTGGCTCTGTGGCCTTGAGCCTATCTTGGGACCAGGAACAGGTCAGTCAGCTGGTGACACACTCGCGACTGTGGGTGGGTTCCAGCTCTCAAACAGGACAGCCTCCTTGCTTCCTATAGAGCCCATGTGGCCTCTCCTATCAGTCTGGCTGGGCCCTGTGGGTGGACAGGGAACAAGCAGAGTGGCCCGGCAGCCATGAAGGCCTCAAACACGAGTCAGCACTGCTGCTTTCAAATCTGCCAAGGACAGAGTAAGTGTGAGTGTGTGAGTGTGAGTGTGTGTGTGTGTGTGTGTGTGTGTGTGTGTGTGTGAAGAAATATGGGTAACACACAGCAAGGGGCCTATCACTGTGGGGGAGGAGGTGGCTGAGAGAGAAAGCCCCACTGGTTGTCTCCTTGAGTGCTTCTGGGGTGGTGCTTCCAGCCATCCCCTCCTCCAGTGACTCTCCTCCTGGAATACATGCCCTTGTGAACACCATTGCCTTGGATGTGGGCTGAATACCACAAGAGTGCTCAGGAGAATACCACAAGAAAGAGGGAAGACCTACGTCCACCCTGCTCAGCCAGGGAAAGCCAGCCACCATGTCGTGAGCCTCCCTGTGGAGATGCCTGCACAGCGAAGAACTGAAGGCAGCCTCGGCCAACAATGGTCCGCGGAACCAACTGCTACCCAGCCACCTGTGTCTGTGGAAGTGGGCTCTTCCCCAGCTGAACCCTGAGATGAGCACAGCCTTGTAAGAGACACTGAGGAGGAAAGTCCCCAAGTCACATCAAGATCCCCGACCCCACAAAAACTGACATTGTTAGAGATAAAAAAAAAACTTGTTATAAGCAACTAAGTTTGGGGATAATTATTATTTGGTCATAGACAGCATATGACTCTGTTAGAATTGCTTCTATAAGACAAGTGTATTACTTTTTGGAAAAAAAGCCAAGATGTTTGTGCTTGGTTAAACGAAGAAAAAGATCTAATGGATCCTCATGGCCTGCACCCTCCCTCGCTCCCTCAGACCGCGCCAGTGAGTGGGGCCTTGGTGCGCAAAGTGGGGCTCTTCAGGCAACACACTCACGTCTTCATCCTGACCTGGATGGATCAGCTCCACAAGCCTCTGGATGATCTTCTCTTCATTAAGCCACTGAAAGGAAAAAGCAGGCCTGTCAACACCTCTGTCTTGTCTCAATGAATGGAAGGAAAGCCCTTCAGTGCAGCAGCAATTCACACACCCAGGCTTCCTGTGATAGAGGCATGCCTGACATTTCTGTCTGCCCAGACCCAGAAAGAACACAAAGAACACACAACAGCCCAAAAGAGTGTAAGGGGGACCACCGTCCATCTGTCCTGACGGCACACATGCACGCTGTCTTCAGGGTATACCTCCGAAGATCAGGGTGCAAAGGAGCCAGAATGAGCTAGAGCCCTGGTACCTCACTGGATGCTGAGGCCACAGAAGTCTCGGCAGCACTGGGACCTTCCCAGGATGTGGACGAGCAAGGCAGTCCTGTGAGGCCACAGGAACACAGTGGGGCACGTTTCAAGGTTCGAGGCCGGCGAGGAGGGGCCAGTGTGACATCAGGGCTCAGAGCCTGCCCCCATGCACTGCAGGGCCCCATGCTTCCAATTCCTCATCCAAAAGGAGGTTGGCCCGCCATATGTGGCAGCCTTGACAACTGGACAAAGTGACGCAACTCAAGGCTGCTTGGTCTACAGTTAAGCAGGCTTCCCACTAATAGTCAGCAATAGCTAATATGCATGCTACGTTCACTGTGCACATGTTGGTCATTACTATTCACTATCAGTGTAGGCTGCTCCATAGGGTGGAGTTACTAACCTAAGTGTGGAAGCATGTGCTCGATAACACCTGATTCCAGCAGCTAGAAAATGGGTAGAGGGCCTAACCGTTACTTCACTTCAAACTGCATTACAAACAGCCTGCAAATAACAGTGGACAGAAGCTTGTCTGGCAGCGATTTCCTGGGCTTCTCTGAGCAGGGATCTTCCTCCTTTCAGGGACTACAAAATCTGACCGGACACCATCAGGACAGACACATCCACACTGCAGTATAAGCGACAGGCCTTCATGTGGAAACACTCCCCACAAGTGCTCTTATAGGCACGTGCCTGGATACAGGGCCAGCATCTCACTGAGCTTCTGCTCTAAGTCGCCGGGGTGGGCACTGGCAGGGAAAAGGGAGGGAACTGAGGAAAGTCCATTTCTGCCTCTTTGTAGATCAAAGGTCTGCTCTTCGTTTCTGAATGGGGTGAGGCAGGACAATGGAGAAGGCACAGGCCACAGCCTTGACAAGAACCCCTGACAACACCAGACAGAGAAACACATGCTGGGTGGAGCACTGGGGACCGGGCACCATGGTACACTCTGAGCGCCTGCGCTCTATGGCTGGCCTCCTTCTGCAGCCCTGCCCTCAGGGATGCAAGGGGACTCCTGGGACTCACGTGCAGGACTTCCTGCCGGAGCCCAGCTGGCTCCACACAGCTGACCAGGCGCAGCAGCAGGTCCATGAGGGCCGAGGTGCCGATGTGCTTCAACACCAGGCTGATGAACTTGTCCTTCTTCTTCAAGAACACAATCACCTGAAATCACACACACCTGGTAAGCAGGCAGGGCCTACCCTGCTGCCCATGAGATGCTTCCCCGAGAATCCTCATGAGGAAGATGAACTGTCAGTTGCGCTGAGCAGATATGACAGAAAGGCCTCTCCAGGACAGGGAGAGCATCTCACCAGGTGTCTGAAGGAGGCTGCCACACAGTTTGGCTCTGTGCTAACAGAGCTCAGCCGTCCCAGCCTATGGGATGCTGCAGGCTGCTGTGCAAAGCTGCAACTCAGTACATACTGGTTCAAGTGTTTCTAACAGAAACAAATGGTGTAGATGGAGCTGAGCTGGGAGATGGTCACCACTGACAGCCCTGGCCCGGAACATAACTCCAGGGAGCACAGAGCACACAAGATGCCAGCCGCTGACAGAACCCCGTAAGTGGTGAAAGGGAAAAGACTGAAGTTTTAGAAAAGAAAAAGAGGCATCACAAGGCTGGTTGGTGACCAGTGACAATAAGGTGCAGACCGCTAAGTGTGAAGCCACGGGGAAGGGGGACCCGGCACCCACCACAGACATGGCGGGGCGCTCAGGAGGCAGACTGCAGACGACAGTGGAGAGCTCCAGCCAGGGCTGGCTGCAAATTCAGCTCAGCTCAGCCCACCCAGAGGAAGCGCCTGCTCTGTCCAGGGTGCTGGGCTGGGGCAGAGGCAGACCCAGCACTCTACTGGGAACAACAGGAACACAGAGAAGGTCCACCCAGGTGGGGCACCTCAGCCTGGCTGCTGAGATAAGGAGAAAGAGTAGGAAGAGGAGTGGGGAAGAAAGAGAGAAAGGGGAGGAAGAGTGGGGGGCGAGGAGGATAGCTCTTTGAAAAGGATTATCAAGCTCCTGGAAAGACTAAGAACAAAACAGAAGGTGCAAATAACAATTTAGGAATGAAACAAGGGACACAGGGACACTGCTAAAGAGCCCACAAATGTAAAGACTGTTACGAGAAAAGCTAATAGGAGCAATTTTGTGCCAATGTGTATCCATTCAGAAAACTGAAAAATGTCCTCGAAAAACATGCTTATCTAAACTGACAAGAAGAAACAGACAGGTGGAATCATTCTGCAACATTGACAAAACAAAATCCATAATTAAAAGCCTTCCCCAAGCCGGGCTCGGTGGCTCAGCCTGTAATCCCGCGCCTTTGGTAGGCTGAGGTGAGTGGATTGCCTGAGCCCGCGGGTTCGAGACCTGCCTGGGCAGCAAGACCTCATTTCTACAATAAGTCAAAACATCAGCCGGGCGTGGTAGTGCGCGCCTTTAATTCCGGCTACTCGGAAGGCTGAGGCAGAAGTATCGCCGGAGCCCAGCATTTCGAGGCTGCGGTGGCCGGGAGCGGCCACTGCACTCCAGTCTGGACGACAGAGTGAGACTCCAACTCAAAAAAATAAATAAATAAAAAGAAAAATAAAAGCCTCCCCATACAGAGAATGTCTAGCTCTAATGGCCTTACCAGTGAATTCTGCCAAACATTTAAAGAAAAGTAAACCCCAATTTTATACAGACTCTTCCAGAGAACATAGACTGAGGGAATACATCCCATTCCATTGTACAAGGACATAAAACCTTGATTCTAAAATTTGACAAGGGTATTGTAAGAAAGGAAAATTATAAAGCTGGGCGCAGTGGCTCACGCCTATAATCCCAGCACTTGGGGAGGCTGAGGTGAGAGGACTGCCAGAGCCCATGGGTTCGAGATCAGCCTGGGCAACTTGGTGAGACCACATCTCTACAATAAATCAACAAACTAGCCAGGCAAGATGGCGCACGCCTGCAATCCTAGCTACTTGGAAGGCTGAAGTGGAGGAATTGCCTGAGCCCAACAGGTTGAGACTGCGGTGGCTGTGTGCATGCCATTACACTACGGCCTGGGTGACAGAGTAAGACTCCAACTCAAAAAAAAAAAAAAAGAAAGGAAAATTACAGGCCAATCTCACTGATCACCACAGATGAAAAAAAAAGTCTAGCAATATAAAAGAGAGCATAATATACTACAATCAAGACAGGTTTTCTGTTTAATATTAGACAATGCAATGCATCTACTCTATTTTTATTTTTTTGAGCTGGAGTCTCACTCTGTTGCCCAGTCTGGAGTGCAGCTCACAGCCACCCCAGCGTCAACCTGCTGAGTTCCAGTGATCCTTCCGCCTCAACCTCCCAAGCAGCTGGAACTACAGGCGCATGCTACCATGCCTGGCGAAATTTTGATTTATTGTAGAGACAAGGTCTCACCAAGTTGCCAGGGCTGGTCTCGAACCCGCGGGTTCAGGCAATTCTCTCACTTTGGTCTCCCAAAGTGCTGGGATTATAGGCTGAGCCACCAAGTCAGCCTACTCTATTAATAGAGTAGAAAAATTATATGATCATTCCATAGGTACAATAAAAACATTTGATACATTTCAACAACCATGATACGAACTTGTGAAAAACTAGGAATGCAGCCTGGGCAACATAGCAAGACCTTGTCTCTACAAAAATAAAAAAATTAGTTGGGCATGGTGGCACACACCTGTGGGATCATGCCACCTGCACTCCAGCCTGGGCAACAGTGTGAGACCCCAACTCAAAGGAAAACAAACTAGGAATGAAGAGATTCCTTTAAGTATGATTTTATTTATTTATTTATTTTAGTTGGAGTCTCACTCTGTCACCCAGGCTGGATGGTGGTGGTGCACTCCCAGCCACCATAGCCTCGACTTGCTGGGCTCCTGTGATCCTTCCACCTCAGCCTTCCAAGTAGCCGGAACTACAGGCATGCACTACCACGCCCGGCTATTTTTGATTTATTGTACAGACGTGGTCTCACTAAGTTGCCTGGGTAGGTCTCGAACCCGTGGGCTCAGGCAATCCTCTCGCCTCGGACTTCCAAAGTGCTGGGATTACAGGCTGAGCACAAACCCAACAACACACATCATATTTAATTGGAAAATGTTGAAAGCTTTTCCTTTGAGATAATAAATAAAACAAAGAGGCTCCACTACCATCATTTCTATTCAATACTGTATTAAAGGTTCCAGCCAATGAAACAGAAGCCCAAACAAAAATGATAAAGGACAAAATAAAACTGTCGTTAGTCACAGATGACACCATCTTGTATACAGATAAAACAAAAGGATATAAAGAATATTAAAATTAACAGTAGCTTTATTTATAATCACCAAAAACTGGAATCAGCCTAGTTATCCCTCAACACATGAATAATTAAATAAACTGTGGTACATATATACCATGGAATACTACTCAGCAGTGAAGAGGCATGAGCTATTAATACGCTTATTAACCTGGGATGACCCCACAGGAAATTATGTTGAGCCAAAAAGCTAACCCCCAAAAGTTACATATTATAGGACTTAATTAAATAACATTTTGAAATGACAAGCTTTCAGAGCTGAAGACCAGATGAGTGGTTGCCGGGGGAAAGGGACTGGTGAGGGTGAGAGCAGGAGGAAGGTGAGTGTGGTACTAAAAGGGCACCACAAAGCATCCTTGTGGTTTCAAAGCCGTTTAGGATCGCGACTGTGATGGTGGGTGGACACACGAATGCACAGAACTTACTCATACACACACAAAAGAGTACAAGTCAAACTGGAGAAATGTGAGTAAGATCAGCAAACTATATCAATATCAAAATCCCAGCTATGATGTTCTACTAGTGTTTTTTTTTTGCTTTTGTTATTAAGTTGAGTCTCACTCTGTCACCCAGACTGGAGTACAGTGGCTGCTCTGGGCCACCGCAGCCTCGACCTGCTAGGCTCCAGCGATCCTTCCGCCTCAGCCTTCCAAGTAGCTGGAACTACAGGCGTGCACTACCACGTGTGGCTAATTTTTTATTTATTAGAGATGAGGTCTGCCAAGTTGCCCAGGCGGGTCTTGAACCCGCAGGCTCAGGCAATCTACTCACCTCAGTCTCCCAAAGTGCTGAGATTACAGACTGAGCCACCGAGCCCGGCTTCTACTAGTGTTTTACAAAATGTCACCATTAGAGAAAGGTGGTCAAAGAATACAGGGTTTTCTTCATATTATTTCATGCAACCTCATGAATCTATAATTATTTAAATCAGCATTTCAACTAAAAAGATATGATTTGGAATAATATAAATATATCAAATATTAAGAATAAATGCAATGACATTCACAACACTGCTACACAGAGAATTATAACACATTACTGAAAAATTAAAGAAGCATCAACTACTCAGCTTTACTACTGTAGCATAAAAGGAGCTCTAGACAATATGTAAGGGAATGAAAATGGCTGTTTTTCAGTAAAATTGTATTCACACAAGCAGGTGGCAGGCTGGTTTTGGTCTGCGGGCCACAGTTTGTCAACTCCCATGTATAACCAATACAAACCTAATTAAAATTTCAGCAGGCTTTTTCTTCTTTTGTTGGCGGGGGTGATGGGGTGGAGGTGTGGAAACTGACAAACTCATTCTAAAATTTGATTATTCTAAAATAATCAAAAGACAAAGAATAGTAAAAATAATCATAAAGAAAAGCAAAATGAGAGGTCTAAAGCATTAAAATATCAAGACTTATAAAGCTACATTGTACAAATGTCAATTCTAGGTTTTGCCACTGTACTATAGTAAAGCTATAACCATTGGGGAAACTGAGTGAATGGTACACGGGAAATCTCTCTGAAGTATTTCTGTAATTTCTTGTGTGTGTGTGTATACATATGTATATATATTTTTTTAATTGTTTTTTGGGTTTTTTTTTTTGAGTCGGAGTCTCACTCTGTCACTCAGACTGGAGTGTAGTGACACCATCATGGGCTCAGGCAACACTCCTGCCTCAGCTTCTTGAGTATTTGGGACTACACGCATGTGTTACCTTGCCCTGCTAATTTTTTTTTTTTCCAGTAGACAAAGTCTTGCTATGTTGCCTAGGCTGGTTTTGAACTCCTTGGCTCAAGCAAACCTCTCGCCTTGGCCCTTGGCTGCCCTAAGTGCTGGGATTACAGACATGAGCCACCATGCCCAGCCTCTCACAAAGTTTTTTAAAACTTTAAAATATGCAAACTAAATTACATCGATCTAAGTTAGGGAAGTGACTCTAAGGAGTGCAGGAAGCAGTGATTAGGAGGGCTACGGAGGAGGCTTCTGACTCCTCTGGACCTGAGTGATGGCTACTCAGCTGCTCACTTTGATGACATACTAGGCCACAGTATTGTACACTATTCTGCATCTGTGCTAAATTACACAATAAAAGGTTAAAAAACAATGTACAGGCCGGGCGTGGTGGCTCATGCCTATAATCCTAGCACTTTGGGAGGCCGAGGTAAGAGGACTGCCTGAGCCCACAGGTTTGAGCCCAGCCCGGGCAACTTGGTGAGACCTCACCTCTACAACAAATCAAAAAATTAGCTGGGCATGGAGGCGCATGCCTGTAGTTCCAGCCACTTGGAAGGTTGCGGTGGAAGGACCACCTGAGCCCGGCAGGTCAAGGCTTCAGTGGCTACAAGCATGCCATTGCACTCCAGCCTGGGTGACAGAGTGAGACTCCAACTCAAACAACAACAATAACAACGACGAAAACAACCAATGTATACGGAACACAAGTATTAATTAACAAAACTCCCAAAGATCAATAAGGAAAAGGTACAATCAGAATTGCAATGATACATTCTTGCCAAGAAAAATTCCACCCGGGGGGCAGGCCTCTGGATCACAGGCGGTTACAAGAGGGGAATGAAGGAGCATCAGGGAGGCTCAGCCAAGCCAGCCTGCAGCTCAATCCAACCACAGCTGCAACTGCAGAGCCCTAAGAGAGCTATTTAACTTCTTTAGAGGGTTGTTAAAAGCATAAACTAAAAAAGATGTTAATGCAAACAGCAAAAAACATCCCTTCCCTTCCCTTTCCCTTCCTTTCTCTTCTTTCTCCCTACCATCTTTCTTTAAGTCGGGGTCTCACTCTGTTGCCCAGGCAGGAGTGCAGGGGCGTGATCACGACTCACCACAGCTTTGGCCGCCTGGGCTCAGGCAATCCCTCCACCTCAAGCTCTTGAATAGCTGGGTCTACACACACGCATCATCATGCCCAGCTAACTTTTTGTAGAGACGAAGTCTCACTCTTTTGCCCAGACTGGTCTCAAATTCCTAGGCTCAAGCAGTCCTCTCACCTCAGCCTCCCAAAGTGCTAGGATTACAGGCATGAACCATCCTGCCCAGTTGCAAAATGGGTCTTAACTCAAACAAACCAACTCCAAAAAACATTTTATGAGATCATCAAAGTAATTTGAACATTGTATGCAAAAATGGTGGGAAACACTACAAGAGGTTATTATTAATGTTTTAGGTGTGATAATGATATTGTGGCTATGTTTGTAAGAGTCATTATCCTTTGGAGATACATACTAAAACATATATACACAAAAATATACGATACTGGGGATTTGCTTCAAAACAAACTGGGGTGAGGGCTGGAAATAAAGGAGTGTAGAAGAATTAAGATTAGTCGTGAACAGATAATGTGGAAGGCAGGTAATGAGGACAAGGGGATTCACACAATATTTTACCTAATTTATAGATGCTTGAAATAAGCCATAATGAAGGGCTGAGAAAATGCTGTCAGTCCTTCCACTGACAGCCCCATCTGTGGTCCACTCCTACAAGAGGAAGGCTCCCTGCAGTCCTGCCTTCCAGCTGACCCTAGGAACAAACCAGTTCCTGGATGATTGTTACAAAACCTGGGAGAGCAAAATGGAAGACAAAATGTCTGCCAAAAAGAACAAGACAGCCCTACAGGGAAAGATGCACAAGGTCTATTTCCAAGTAAAAAAGGCAATTTGCTGTACTCAGTGTGATACCATTATGTGAAAACAAATATGCTAACCAGTCTACTGGAAGAAAAACTTAAGAGGCACATGTACTAAATAATGGACAGCAGTTACTTCTAGAGCATATTATCATATTACTTTTATGCATTAAGCACTGGGTAAGGGATGGGGAGGGAAATAATATGAGGCAGTAAAATTATCAGGAACATATCTGAAAGTGGCAGAGGAGCATGATGAAGTTATAGCAAATTATGAGACACACACATCCAGTCACTGAGCTGTAAGGGTCAGACACAAAAGGTCTTTAAAACTTCTATTCCTGGCTGAAATGGTAGCTCAAGTCTGTCATCCCAGCACTTTGGGAGGCCAAGGTGAGGGGATTGCCTGAGCCCACAGGTTCAAGACCAGTCTGGGAAACACTACAATAAATAAAAAATTAGCCAAGCGTGGTGGCACACGCCTGTTGTTCCGGCTACTTGGAAGGCTGAGGCAAAAGGATTGCTAGAGCCCAGCAGGTCAACACTGAGGTGGCCGTGAACATGCCACTGCACTCCAGCCTGGGCGACAGAGTGAGACTCTAACTCAAAAAAAAATAAAACCAACTTCTATTCCCAACTCACAGTTATGATGACCACCCCACCTGGCGCCACGGTTCCTACCATGACCACTACTCACACTCCCATCCTGCAGCCACCCCCCCACTGCTGGTAGGATCCCTCCCACCTCCTGCACAGACACCCACTGCTGCTGCTACTCCTCACTTATAATCTGCTTCAAAAAGAAGTGGGGTGAAGGTTGGCTCACATCTGTAATCCTAGCACTTTGGCCAAGATGGGAGGATTGCGTCAACCCAGGAGTTTGAGGCCAGCCTACACAATATAGCAAGACCTTGACTCTACAAAAAATAAAAAAAGTAGATGGGCATGGTGGTGCGTGCCTGTAGTCCCAGCTACTTGGGGGGCTAAGGCAAAAGCATCACCTGAGCCTAGGAGGTCAAGGCTGTGGTAAGTCATGATCATGCCACTGTACTCCAGCCTGGGCAACAGATGAGACCGTGGCTCAAAAAAAAAAAAAAGAGGATGAGACTTCCCTGGGGGCCACTGCAAATCTCAGATTTATGACCCAGTGGAAAATGGCATTCCACTGAACCCTCACAACATGCCAGCAGAATGTCCACAAGTGGAAAAACACAGACACAAAATATTGATATGTTTCCCAGACTGGATATTTGATGGTATTAAACAACTGTGGTTAATATTTTGGGGGTATGATAAGGAAATTCTAATTATATTTAAAAGAAAAAAGTTCTTAGAGACACACACACTGAAATATTTAGAGAAGAAATAATCTGATGTCTGGGATTTGTTTTGAAATAATTCAGTGGGGATGGGCGGGCGGGGGTAACAGAGGCAAGAAGACTGGCGAAGATAGACTGTGCCTGGGTGCAGACAAAGGGTGCAGTCACACCTTGTACCTGTGTCCACAGGCAAGAGCAAGGACAGACTCCAGAAAGACCATGCTACAGCCGACGGAAACAATTTCACTTGCTACTCTTGCAGAAGCCTCTTCTAGAGTTATCTTTTGTCTGCGCTGAAGCAGTACGTGCCCTGGACACAGACATATGCCACACACAGATGAAGGAGCAGACCTCAGGAGGAAGCAGGTCCAGGAGGAAAGCATGTCCCAGGATCTCATGCCTGTAGCTGGCTGGTGACAAGGCAAGCTGGTCTACTCTGGGGTCTGTGCAGCTTCCAGGGATGGTGAGTGGTACTGCTGATTCCACAGTCAGCCATCAGAAACAGTCCTTGGGAAGCCGCTTTCTTATTCAAATGCCAACCCTCATACCAGCAACGCCCACTACTCCATATGTGTCCCACAGGAAGGTCAAACATACTGTTCCCCACAGGCTGAAGATAAGTCACACAGCGAGGGCCAGCAGCAAGATGTACCAGCATCTGCCGTGACAAAGTTCCAAACCATGTGGGTTTTCCACATTATTTACCTGTTCGGTTTTCCTTGCAATGAGATTGCCAATGGTCTTGCTGAAAAAACTGGCGAGCAGAGGATTGAGAGGTGGCTCGTGGTCCAAGAAGTCGTATAGAAGGCTCAGCAGACTCTCGTCCCCACCTAGTCTGTCGCTGATCTGCGGCACATCACAAGTCAGAAGCTCACAGGCTGTGTTTGGATATCTAAAAGGGCACATAGTCCAAGCAACTGGAGGTGAAATCAGACTTCTCCAACTCTCAGGAAGCTGCTAAAATAATCTGCTTCTTAGGAAGCAGACCCACGTGATAAGAATAGAACACTGAAAAGACCTCAGAAGAAAATAAAACCATGATTATTCTGTGACTACCTCATATTTTTAACAACTAGAAATTCAGAGTTTTGTGGGGGTTTTTGGAGTTGGAGTCTCACTCTGTCGCCCAGGCTGGAGTGCAGTGGCAAGCTCACAGCCACCGCAGTCTTGACCTGCTGGACTCAGGTGATCCTTCCGCCTCAGCCTTCCAAGTAGCTGGAACTGCAGGCATGAACCACCACACCTGGCTTATTTTTTTATTTATTGTAGAGACACAGTCTCACCAAGCTGCCCAAGCTGGTCTCGAACCCCTGAACTTAGGCAATCCTCTTGCCCTGGCCTCCCAAAGCGCTGGGATCACACGTGTGAGCCACTGTGCCCAGCCCAAATTCCAAGTTTTTATTATATGGGCTCCTCATGCCCTATCCTCTGACATTTTCTGAATTTATTTCCATTCCTAAAAAACTCTCCTTAGTGATCTCGCCTTTTCTCTTTCCAGGCCTTCATACTCACCTGCCGGGTCTTCGACCACCTGTCTGGCCACACTGTCTAAGTGAGGCCAAGTTTGGACCACGTTCATCTCCCTGACCGTCAAGTCTGCTTCTCCTCTCCTTGCCATGCCCCCTCTATCAACAAATACAGACCCCCACCTTCCCCAAACTGGAGAAACATCATGTCAGCAGCTTAGGATGCAACCATTGTGAGGCATTATGCAAGTCATGTATGCTCAAGAAATACCAACATTTATGAATCATGTACTTCCCTGTTTGGTAAAAACAAACAGTCACAAAATACGCCTCAACCTATTATGCATTATCTCATCAGGACATCACTGTGCTCCCATTTGAGCATCCGGCAAACTTGGGTGGGTGACGGCACACCCAACCCATAGACCAGGACAGAGTTTTTTTTTTTTTTAGTTGGAGTCTCATTCTGTCGCCCAGGTTGGAGTGTAGTGGCATACTCCTGGCCACTGAAGCCTGCTGGGCTCCGGTGATCCCTCTGCCTCAGCCTTCCAAGGAGCTGGAACCACAGGCATGCACCACCACACTCGACTAATTTTTAGATTTTTTTGTAGAGAGGAGGTCTCGCCAGGTTGTCCAACCCCTGAACTCAGGCAATCCTCTCTCCTCAGTCTCCCAAAGTGCTGGGATTACAGGCATGAGCCACCACACCCGGTTCCAGGACAGAGCTCTTCATGGAAGCATCCCTACCAAGGCCTGGTTCTTTGTTCCTGTGGAAAGATGGAGAGGGTGCCTGGGCCCCAACAGGCAGGAGTCCGGTGAGCGCATCCCGTGGGCCTGACTGCTTTGGCACAGGCCTGTCCCTACAAAGAGTGAACTGCCTAACCTCCGTTTGGGTTTCTCACCTGAACGTGCAGTTGAGAGGACTGCCCATCCCAAGAGGCTCTTGTGAGCACTACAGGGGGCATGTGTGCGAAGCAGAGCAGCCCAGGCACACTGGAAGCACTCAGTCTAGGTCAGCTGCTATGACCTCCCTTCCCGTGCCAGCATGTGGCCGGTGTCAGCGGCAGAGGAGGTCCATCAAAATGAGGAGGTGGACCACCAAAGGTGAGGAAACAAAGTACAGACCACTCCCTGCAGAAACACTTCAGAAGCACCGAGAAGGAACTGACCTTGTCCACACACGGACAAATGTGTGCACATATGGCACACACCAAGCTAGAAAAGACTGGCTCTCTAGGTGGAGGGACCAAGATTTTCTCCTTTTTTAAATTTAACAGTATTTTACAATTACTCTTGAAAACACAGGCACTGCTCTAGCAGTTTTGTTTTTTTTTTTGGCATCTCACTCTGTCACCCAGACTGGAGTGGCGTGGCACACTCAAGGTTACCCCAGAGTTGACCTGCTGGGCTGTGGTGATCCTTCTGCTCCAGCCTTCCAAATAGCTGGAACTATAGGTACGCGCCACCACGCCTGGCTAATTTTTTGATTTATTGTAGAGACAAGGTCTCGCCAAGTTGCCTAGGCTGGTCTTGAACCTGCGGGCTCAGGCAATCCACTCGCCTCGGCTTCCCAAAGTGCTGGTATGACAGGCTGAACCACCGAGTCCGGTTCTAGTTTTTAAAATTTATACAAGGAACAGGCACTCCCATTAAACACAGCAGCTGGAGTACACAGGTTGGTTGATACTCTCTCAAACTACTACTCAAGTAATGCAAAGAGTTAAGAAGGTAAAGTAAGAGAAGGGGACACTGAACTGCACCACACATCTTTAAAATAAGAAATTAAAACAAAAAGAAGAAAAGAGAAGTGGAAATAATGCTGGACCAGGCCTGGAGGACGAAAGCCATGCTGTAGGAGCACTGATGGCACAGGGAAGGCTGCATCCCAGAAGCCTGCACGAGGGACACCAACCAGAGATGAGAACGCAGGCCTGGACATGGAGAGGGTGAGGCAGATTGATAACTGTCACAGAGCAGGGCAGAGGGACCCTTTGTCTCTCCCTGCTACCCTGCTAGAACAAGTAGGTTAGAGCAGCTACTGGATCAAGGATGCCAGGCACAGCGAAAGGGGTGACAGAGGCCCTCAGAGACAGAGGACTTGATAAAAACAATACTGGAGTGCCCCCAGTCCCCCTTCCCCACTCAGCTCCTAGGATGCTGACAAGTCTATGTCCCACAGGAAGAGCTAGAAGGATTCTTTTCTGAAGATAATAATGGGACAAAGAGAAAAGTCAACTAGCTGTCATCTAACCAATTGGTCAGCCACCAATCCTACAGGAAAGCTTGTGGGGAGTAAATCCCACTAAGATCCTGAACTCTCCACAGGGTTAGGCCCTCACTCTTGAAAGAAATACAGTGCTGGCCAACCAGAAAACAAGGGACACGGAGAAGAGAGTGCAGAGAGCAGAAGAAAACTTTTAAAAAACCTGTAATATTCTCAGAGACAATACACTAAGAACCAGAGATTCGTTAAAATATCTGAGAGCAGGCCGGGCGCGGTGGCTCAAGCCTATAATTCCAGCACTTTGGGAGGCCGGGGCAAGAGGACTGCCTGAGCTCAGGGGTTTGAGACCAGCCTGGGCAACTTGGCAAGACCTCACCTCTACAATAGTCAAACAATAAGCCAGGCGTGGTAGCACTTGCCTGTAGTTCCAGCTACTTGGAAGGTTGAGGTGGAAGGACTGCCTGAACTCAGCCTGGGTGACAGCCTGGGCGATAGCCTGGGCGACAGAGTGAGACTCCAACTCAAAGAAGAAAAAAAAAAGATCTGAGAATCAGACAGAATTCTTAGAAATTAAAAATATGATAAATGCTGGGTATGGTGCCATGTGCCTGTAGCCCCAGCAACTTGGCAAGCCAAGGCAGGGGAAGTGCTTGAGGCTAGGAGTTTGAGTCCAGGTGGGGTGAAGAAGTAAGATAACCACCTCTAAAAGAGAGTGTGTGTGTGTGTGTGTGTGTGTGTGTGTGGTAGAAATTTGAAAAGTCAACAAAAGTTAAAAGTTGAAGAAACCTCTCAGATATAGATCAAAAAGGCAAAGACAAAAACATTAAGAGCAAACATAAGAAAAATATTAATTTAGGTGATCTAGCACCAATTAGAATTTCTAGAAAGAAGGAAAACTGGAGAGAATTTTTTTTCCTTTTTTTTTTAAGAAACAGGGTCTGGTTCTGTTGTCCAAGTTGGAGTATAGTGATGCCATGACTGCAGCCTCCAACTCCTGGACTCAAGCAGTCCTCCCACCTCAGCCTCCCAAGCAGCTGGGACTACAGGCCCATGCCACCATGCCCAGTTAATTTTTTTGATTTTTTTTTTTAGATACAAGGTCTTACTATGTTGCCTAGGCTGGTCTCAAACTCCTGGGCTCAAGCAATCCTCCTGCCTCAGCCTCTCAAAGTGCTGGGATTACAGACATGAGCCACTGTACATGGCTGGGAGGGAAATTATCAAAGATATAAGAAATTTCCCTCCATGAATGTCATACATTAGTGCCTAGCAACAAATTTTAAAAACAAACTGATACCACTATTTACCTTAATGTGAATATGTAAATACTGTTTACAGTTGATCTGTTATATTTGCCTACTTACGTGTTTTTCCCCAGAGTTCATATCTATTGCTAATTTCTCCCAAACTACAACTGTGAAACTGTGACATTCTATAATAATCGATCCTAAATACTTTCAGAAAGGAAAGAAGACAGATGATGCGCCCGAGCTAGGAGGCTTGCGGGACTGGAGGGCAACACAGTCTCCAGATGCCCAGGGGACTAAGCCCATCTGGACTTCTGAGCCGGGGGATTCTCAAACACGCCCGCAAAGAAAAGACAGCACTCTCAGACATGTCCACTCCCCTCAACATTACCGCCTATGAATTCTTTCTCAGGAAGCTGCTGAAGAAAACAACTTGCTACAGGAAGCAAACCAAAGAAGAAGGGATCACAGATGACGAACAGCGGAACCACCAGAGCAGGGTGGAGGGTCCAGGGATTATTATGGCAGAAGTTCCCTTCTCCCCCAATGTTTCTTGTGGTGGTAAAGTCATCTTCCTTTCGGGTTTGCTGCTGAATGCAAGTCTTTCTGGGGCACGGGGGTACTTCCTAGGGACCCACTGTGACTCAGTGCCGCTTTCCACTGGGTGAGCAGTTCTAGCTCAGCAATTAGGAATGAAGACGCCACAGTCCAGAGTTATAAACAGCACTGCCTTACAAGTAACAAAAGAGATACCTTATCTACTGCTGGCTCTTCGGTCTTATTTCTCAAACGATCTAGAACTTGGCAGGGACCTCACAAAAAAGGCCAAGAACGTCTATGTGATTCTAGGGCTGGACCACAAGGCTGCTGCTTCCCCTACCCTGTGGTGGCACCCTCTGCTGTTGCCTCTGGAAGGTGACGGACTGTCCTAGGGCTTAGGGCTTTTCAATCATGGGCCGGCTGTATGTCAGGCCTGGGGAAGAGGCAGTGCGTGGCAAGTCTTGAGAAACATAAAACTTTACTGGAATGCAGCCACATCCATTTGGTTATGATTTTCTGTGGCTGCTCTTATGCTGTAACTTCAGAATTGAGTCGTTTTGGAGACTTTATGGCTGGTAAAGTCTAAAATATTTTCTATCTGACCTTTCACAGATAAAGTTTGCCAATTCCTGGCATACACACATTTTATATCTCCCTTATCCCTTTTTTAAAAGGGATAGGATTTTGTGCTGTCACCCAGGATGGAGTGCAGCGGCACACTCACAGCTCATAGTCCCAAACACCTGGGTTCAAGGATCCACCTACCTCAGCCTCCTACTCAGCCCTCCAAGTCGCTGGGACTATGGCACGCATCACCATGCCTGGCTCTTCCCCATCTTTGAAATAATCTTGATTCTACTTCTTCCTGTAAGTACCACCTTATCCATCTATCCATCCATCTTCTGTTTTTTTCTCAAAAAAAAAATGGATTTTTTTTTCCAGACATGGTGGTTCACGCCTATAATCCCAGCACTTTGGGAGGCTGAGACAGGAGGACTGCTTGAGCCCAGGAGTTTGAGACCAGCCAAGACAACATAGTGAGATCTCCAATCTACAAAAAAATCAAAATATCAGTTGGGCATGGTGACATGTGCCTGTAGTTCCAGTTACTCGGGAGGCTGAGGAGGGAGGATCGCTTGAGCCCACGAGTGTGAAGCTGCAGTGAGCTGTGATCTTGCTACTGCCCTCCAGTCTGGGCAACAGAGTGAGACTCCGACTCAAAAAGAAAACACAAAAGTGTTTTTTTGTCTAGTTTTGTTTTTAAGGCAAGTCCAAGTGGAGCAACAGGATTGGAAAAGGCACAAAGAAAGCTGCAACTGGCAGTGTCCAATTAGTCACAAACACTACACGTGGACTAACCTCTAAAAAAGTGTTGTAATGATTTTTATACAAGTGAGACGTGTACCTGCTTTGAAAACTCAGACAGTGTGGCAGGGTGGTGAGGAGACACTCTCCGCTCCACACAAGCACTCTTCTGGCATTTTTCCCTAACATTAACCCCACGTTTCTAAATAACACACATGGACTTTCCTCAATGGAAGGTGAAGCTTTAGCTTTCACATCACCAGCTTCCCTCTCCCTTGTGCTCCCTGCAACATCACACCATAATTTTTAGGCTAAATGTGCAGCTCGTGTTTACCTTAGTATGCATATGCAAATAACGTTTGTGGCTGAGTGGATCTGTTCACTCTGGTTATATCTGCGTGGTTATAAAAGTTTTCCCTGGAGTTAATAATAGTTGTTTTGTTTGCTTGGTTCTACACTTATCTAGTGCTAATTTCTCCCAAACGCCGAAACTCCTGGCTCATCCATGCAGCTCTGAGATCCTCTGTCCTGGGCCAGAAGACTCTCACTCTCTGCTGCCCCACGCCTGTTGCTTTGTTCCAACTGGTCACCAAACTGGGACACTTCTGGGAGTGGGAGGGGTAATGCCGAGACCACAGGTGTCACCACCAGTGTAGGCTGGGCTGCACCAGCCTCCGGCTTTGGCTCCCTTCTCCCGAATCCCTTGGCTCCTTATGAGCCCGTTTTTTCTAGAACTCTCTTCCCCATCACCAACATGGCTCCTCTTTTCCTTGAGAACTTGACTGACCACCCTAAATGAAGTGTTGACCACTTCTGGCCACAGGCATGCCCCATCTCCCTATCTTGCTTTATTTTTCTTCTAAGGCAAAAGCCAGCAAAGACTTTCTGGTCAGATGGTAAATATTGCTGATGGTTTCTGGTGCAACTATGCAGCTCTGTGTTACATGTGGATGAGTGTGGTTATGTCCAACAAGACTTTATTGGTGGACAATGAAACATGAATTTCACATCATTTTTATGCTAACAAAATGTTCTTCTTCCTTTGTTTTTTTCTCCAACCATTTAAAAATGCAAATAGGGCCGGGCTCGGGTGGCTCAGCCCGTAATCCCATGCCTTGGGAGCCCGCGGGTTCGAGACCTGCCCAGGGAACTTGGCGAGACCTCATCTCTACAATAAATCAAAAAGATTAGCCGGGTGTGGTAGTGTGTGCCTGTAGTTCCAGCTACTTGGAAGGCTGAGGAGGAAGGATCGCTGGAGCCCGGCAGGTCGAAGCTGCGGTGGCCGGGAGAAACCACTGCACTCCAGTCTGGGTGACAGAGTGAGACTCCAACTCAAAAATAAAAATAAAAATAAAAATGGTGGCTCACGTCTGTAGTCCCAGCACTTTGGGAGGCAAAGGTGAAGGCACTGCCTGCACACAGGGGTTCAAGACCAACCTGGGTAACTTGGAAAGACCCTGTCTCAACAATAAATCAAAAAATTAGCCAGTTGCAGTAGTGTGCAACTATAGTTCCAGCTACTTGAAAGGCTGAGGCAGAAGGATCACCAGAGCACAGCAGGTAGAGGCTGCAGTAGCCACGAGTGTGCTACTGCACTCCAGCCTAGGTGACAAAGTGAGACTCTGACTCAAAAAAAAAAAAAAAAGGTAAAGCCAGTCTTAGCTTACAGGCCACACAATAGGATTTAACCTGCAGGCCACAGTTTGCTGACGTGTTCTAAGATGCTACCACCACGCATGTGTATTTGACGCTTCCTTGGGTGGCTGCGGGGTCTGGCCTGATCCCTGTTGTGCCACCTGGGGACACTACTGGCCATGCGGCCTCTTCATAGATCTGCACTCATGGATGGAGCTGGGAGGCTGGGTCTCCCTGTCCTGCCTGTCACTCAAATGCCCACCTATTCACGCTCCTCTGTGCTAACCCACCCTTGTGGCTTCAACCATGTTGCCACACTGCCACTTTCCTTTCTACCGTCTGCCAATACCCTGGCCAACTGCTGAATGGATGTTTAGGGAAAACCTCTGAGAATGTGGAGCGAGGGCATACACTCCCGACAATCATGTACTGCCTTCAAGTTGAAGGCCCCAGATTGAAGCGTGTTTTGGGACTGCGTGGTCAGATCCTACACATCTCTCCTGCCTGGCCACTCTGCCAGCCTGGGACCAACCCTGCTGACAGTGTGGCCTCACGCTGCCATCCTGCCTGCTCTGTCACGAGACCTGTCTTTTTCTTTCGGCATGCTGTCACTCAGAACACCCTGAAACACACTGATACTCGGTAAACTTACTTACAACTCGGAGTAAGAAAACCCACACACAAGAGAGTCCAAGCCCTGAAACGCCACAAGCAAAGCCACAGGAGCGGCTTCCTCGTCTCCCACGCGGGGTGAGTGTTTAAGGCCACTTCCGCCGCCAGAACGCCCTGGCTCTGGCCATGCTCGGACACGCCTGCAGCCCCCTGGCCCCAGCCACAGCCTCAGTACATACTTGAAGCGGACCTTCTCCTCCACATCCAGGGGCGGGTCCTGAGTGATGAGGTTCACCAGCTCCTCCATGCTCTGCTGCCTACACAGGAAGTCCAGCAGCTTCTGGTTCTGAGCCTTACACTCCTGCAAGATGTCATCTTCATCCATCAACTCCCGCAGTGTCACGTGCTCCTTGTCCAGCAGCTTGTCAACGTGGGACGTGGTGTTCAAGTCAAACTTCCAGAACATCGTGACGGCCACGGAGCTACAAGCAAGGACAAAAGGGTCACTTCGCTCCCCTCTGGGAATACGCCCTCGGCAAGGCTACATCCGAGTCCAAGAGGTCATCCACAACACGAACACAGAGAGAGATCCTGGGGTTCAGGGCAGTGACTGTTCTTGCTGGCCCGCTCTGGGTCAGGCTCAAAAAGCGAGCAGACTGCCCGGGGGCTGGCAGCTCTGAGGCTGGGCTCCTGGTCCCAGGTCCTGTCTCCAGGCTCCCCTCTGGGTTGCCCCCACCGCGCCTCCTGCCCCACGATGCCCCAGCCCCACCCCATGGTCGTGCTCCACACGTCCCCAGTGCTCTTGCTTGCCCCCATCTGCATCAGGAGACGCGTCCGGAGGTCTCTCATGTCAGGGATGCCCTCCACCCAAAAGGAACTCTGGACATCTCCCCTCAGAGCCTCATGGAACACAGACTCAGCAAGTCAAACGACAGACAGCTCACTCCACCTGACCCTGCAGGCCTCTCCATCCCCTACAGCCTGGCCCTCTACTCCTCCTCTCCAGGTGCTGAGAAGTGCCCAGGGCCATCGGGAAGCCGCACCTCCCTCACAGGTCCTGCCTCAACCACCTGACCCAGCCCATCTTCTGCATCCCCAGACCTCCTGGCTCTTGCTGTCGTTGCCTGGACCAGTTTGTCATCCCCCAAGAGCTTCACTGGTCTGTCTACAGGCCAGGCCTGGTCAGCAACAAAGTTTTTGCTGTTCTGATACAAAGAGAAAACAAAAAACCTACCTCTTTAACAAAGTTGGAACTCTGAGATTATGAATCCTTTCAACGTACATGAAACATTACTCACAAAATTGCAACAGTAGATGCAATTTATCTTACCTAATATTTTTACTTAGGAGAATAAAAGACTGACCATAGACTCAATATCTGCATGTCCTCTCACCTCGGCCTCAAAACCTCTGCTGGACCCTACACCTACCAGGCTGCATTCCAAAACACGCCTCCAGGTCCTCTGGGCACTTCCCTGGCCTCCTGGATCCCTTGCACCACAAAGACACTGTATATTCCCACACAAACTGTGCAGACCAAGCTAGAGGTATGGCCCTGCAGCCACACACCTGCACATGCTGTTAGGGTGGGCACTGCTCAAGCACTTGGGTATGAAAAGCCCAGAGGTGGTGCAAGCTCAGAAGGCCCCAAAATGGAGCCGCTTTGACTTGCAGTACAAGGGACTCCATGTACACACTGACACAATATTCAGTTTTCCTTCTGGGACCTAAGATGTCCCTTATTCCTCTTGTAAGGAGCATGGATGAATATTTCTGGGTGGAAGCAATAAACTTTGGAGGACCAGAAATAACGATTACTGAAGTACGTTCAGGAAAAGATGGCTGTCTCCACACATACGTATCAGATGTATCTCTCCTAAATGCCCTGCAGAATGACTCAAATGCTGGATGACATACAATCCTGGGACAGAAGGGAACCCTGCCTTGTCAAGGCATTATTTTTTCCTAAAATGTCTGATAGAGTTCACTACTGAAGCCAAGGGGTCTAAAGCTTTCTTTGGTGATGTTTCAATTATGAATTCCACCTCTTTAAAGGAACAGAAAAGAATCTGACATCCTACCTAAACTGGTTGAGTCAGTGGCATGAAGCTGTCTGTGATGCTATCTTGTTACTCGCTTAGTGTTTGACCAATTAGTGTTGAGTAGTAGGTTCTGCAGTAAAGTTCCCCCTTTCATTCCTACATACTAATGCTTGTCCTTTCTCTCTTTTTTCCCTGGGTGCCATTTGAGATTTATTAATTTTTTTCAGGTTAGAAAATATAGTTTATTTAGAAAGTAAATGAGACAGAGAGAGAGAGAGAGAGAGAGAGAGAGAGAGAGAGAAAATTCACCTCTCCAAGGCAGAGAGCAAAGCCAAGAAACATGGCCACACCAGAGTCTAGTAAGGCAATGACTAATTTTTTTTTATAGAGATGAGGTCTTGCTATGTTGCCCAGGCTCAAGGGATCCTCCACCTCGGCCTCCGCAAGTGCTGAGATTACAGACATGAGTCACCCTGCCCAGTTCAGGTTTATTAATTTTACTGGTCTTTTGAAGAACCAATTTTTGCCTTTTCTTTTTTTCTACTATTCATCCATTTTCTATTTCAGTTATTTTCTCTTTGTAATCTTCTTCCTCTTGCATACTCTGGGCTTAATTTGTTCTTCTTTTTTTTTGTTGAGTAGGAGCCTCACTCTGTTATCCAGGCTGGAGTGCAGTGGCCTGCTCACGGCCACTGCAGCCTCTACCTGCTGGGCTCAGGTGATCCTTCTGCCTCAGTCTTCCAAGTAGCTGGAACCAAAGACACACGCTACCACACCGGCTTATTTTTTGATTTATTGTAGAGACGAGGTCTCGCCAAGTTGCTTGGACTCGAAGCCCTGGACTCAAGCAAATCCTCTCACTTCTGCCTACCAAAGTGCTGGGATTATAGGTGTGAGGCACCATACCCGCCTTGTTCTCCTTTTTCTAAGCTTCTTAAGGTAGAGGCTGAAATTACTGATTTTTAGACCTTTTGTCTCCTCTATTATAAGCACTTGAAGCTACAAATTATCCTCCAAGCACTGTTTTAGCTGTATCTCACAGATTTATGTATGATTTCATTTTCACTGAATTCAAGATACTTTTCAACTTCCCTTGTGATATCTTCTTTGACTTATAGGCTGTTTAGAACTATATGTTTAACTTTCCAATTATTTTGGGATACTCAGCTGTTACCGATTTCTAATTTGTATTGTGGTCAGAGAGCATGCTTGTGTGATTTCATTTCTTTTACATTTATTAAGATTTGTTTTATGGGTTACCACAGGAGTCAGCAAACTTTTTCTGGAAAAGAGCTAAATAGTAAATATTTTAAGCTTTGTGGGCCACATACAGTCACCGTGACACATTCTTTTTCTAATTCTTTTTAGACAATGCTTTGAAAACATAACAATTCTTAGTTCACAAGTTGTACAAAACCAGGCACTGGCCTAATTTGGTCTGCAGGTTGTAATTTGCTAACCAACAGTGCTGCACATAATATAGTCTATCTTGGTGGATATTCTACATGCACTAAAACATAATTTTTATTCTGCTGCTGTTGGGAAGGTTCAATTAAGTCAGGCTGGTTAATAATGCTATTCAAGTCTCTATATACCCACTGATTTTCTGTCTACTTGTTCTGTTAATTAATGAGTGAGGAGGGCTGTGTCTTCAACTATAACTGTGGATTTATTTCTCCTTTTGAGTCTGTCTTCTTTCATGTGTTTTGAATTTTTTATTCGGTGCATACACATTTAGGATTGGTATGTCTTTTTTTTGAGTTGGAGTCTCACTCTGTCGCCCAGACTGGAGTGCAGTGGCACGCTCCCAGTCACTTCAGCCTTGACTTGCTGGGCTCTGACGATCCTCCCGCCTCAGCCTTCCAAGTAGCTGGAACTACAGGTGCGCGCTACCACGCCCGGCTAATTTTTTGATTTATTGTAGAGACGAGGTCTCGCCAAGTCGCCCAGGCAGGTCTCAAACCCACGGGTTCAAGCAATCCACTCACCTCGGCCTCCCAAAGCACGGGATTACAGGCTGAGCCACCGAGCCCAGCTGCTATGTCTTCTTGATGAACAACCTCCTTGGCATTAACACAGTACACTATTCTTGTGATTCATGTTTGGTATACCCTTTAACATCCTTTTACTCTCAGCCTATTTGTGTCTTTATAGTTAAGGTGTCTGTCTTATAAACAGCATGACTGAGACCTGATTTGTTATTCAGTCTGTCATTCTCTGCTCTCTAATTGGAGTATTTAGAGCATTTACATTTAATGCAATTATTAATATGGTTGGGTTTGAGTAATCCGAAAAGAATCTAACATAGTTTCACGATTTAAAGAAAAAAACACTTCAACAGGCAAGGCACGGCGGCTCATGCCCATGAACTGCAATCCCACCACTTGGGAAGGTCAAGATAGGAGGATGACTTCAATGTCGGAGTTTGAGACTAGCCTGGAAAACATAGTAAAACCTCATCTCTACAAAAAAATATAAGGAATTAGCTGTGGCAGCATGCACTTGTAGTCCCAGATGGCTGAGGAGAGACGATTGCTTGAGCCCGGGAGTTTGAGTTTGCAGTGAGCTGTGACTGTGCCACTGCTCTTCAGTATGGGTGGTAGAGCGAGACCTCGACTCAAAACTAAAGAAGAAGAAAAAACACTTCAATAAATTAGGAATAGAAGGAAACTTCCTAACTCTGATAAAGGGTATCTACTAAAAAATCTGCAGCTATCAGCATGCTTAATGGTACAAAAGACTTTATGCTTTTCCCCTAAGACTGGAATAAAGGACTCTAGCCACCATATTTAAGATTATAGTGGAGGTCCCAGGTAGTACTCTAAGACAAGAAAAAGAAGACACCACAGATTGAAAAGGAATATGTAAAACTGTCTTTTCTCACAAGTGGCATAATTGTATAAGCAGAAATGTCTAAGAAATCGATAAGAAAAAAGCTACTAGAATTAATGAGAGTGAACTAGCAAGCTCAATATTAATTAAAAAAAAAAAAAAAAGTAGCTGGGCTCAGTGGCTCAGCCTGTAATTCCAGCACTTTGGGAGGCTGAGGCGAGCAGATTGCCTAAGCCTGTGGGTGTGAGACCAGCCCGGGCAACTTGGCGAGACCCTGTCTCTACAATAAAATTAAAAATTAGCTGGGCGCAGTAGTGCATGCCCATAGTTCCAGCTACTTGGAAGGCTGAGGCAGAAGGATCGCCAGAGCCCAGCAGATCAACGCTGGGGTGGCTGTGAGTGTGCCACTGCATTCCAGCCTGGGTGACAGAGTGAGACTCCAACTCAAAAAAACTGTATGTCTATATACTAGCAATGAGCAACTGAAAAATGAAAAAATTTTAAATTCTATTTATAACAACATGTAAAAATCATGAAATATTTCAGGATAATTTAATAAAATATCTACAAGTCCTGTATATTGAAAACTATAAAACACTGCTGAGAAA